TAAGTACCACCTGTTGACTACAGATTTTAAAAGTGCATTTTTTTGGCAGCATAAAAGTAAAAGTGAAATTTAAACTGGATTAAAGCCATAAAATGCTGAAGGCGGAAGAACTTTTCAAAATTCAACGTGTGATTTAAAATATGACTCAGCTCGGGCTATTTTCTCACTCTGAGTTCTTGTTAGTTTTTTGATTGGAGATATTTTATCGCAGGCTTTTATTTATTATTGCACTACTGTTTAGAAAGAGTTCTGCTGAATTTAGCTCGATGTTTATCATTATCCGGACTTAAACGAAAACAAAAGTGATTATCCGTGGGTTAAATGAAAGTGCTTGTTATCTCTCTTTTGGGTTTTCAACAATAAACTTTCCCCTCCTGTGTAACAGGATATGTCTGTGATTCCAACAGACTCACCCTTTCCTGTATGGACTTTACGCCTGGCAAATGTACTCCTATTCAACCGAGGCTAATGGGGACTAAAAGTCAAAAAGGTATTTACAGGAATATCTACAGAGTTCATATACACAATTCAATTCTGAAGGACTAAAACTTTTACAACTGCAGAGAATCAGAATTTGTGCTTTATTGAGTAAGAAACCAAACGTGAAATGCAGAAGGACTGTATTTGAATGGTTACAGAACAGTTAAAGCACCATTATGTGTTTTGATTCACAGAACTGTTAAATAAAGGCGGACGTTTGAAATGTCACAAAGGTTACAACTATTTTTTGTCGTCCGACCAGGTGATCTCATAGTCGCTGAAGAGAGTCTTCAGCTTCTCCACAGAAACAGCATGGTCAGCTTTACCAAAGGCCTGCGAGTGAGCAAGAGGCCTGACATTAGTGAATTAAATACTACTGAAGATTTTAACTTTTCATTCAGCTTTTAGTTCACTTACAGTGGATTCTCCAAACACCCTTATCTTTTTCTCTTGGTTGTTGTGCTCGATCTTTCCTCCTCCAAGGCATTTGCACTCCATCCCCAAGGCCTCCATAGCAGGGTTGACCTTCTCAAAAATATGATCTGAAAATTTATGAAGACATTTAGAAGAAATTGAGATTGTAATTTAGTTACAATTTAGTCAAAATAGCAATTAGAATCAAATACGGAAATTTGGTTGTTGTCTCCAACGACTAAGTTGGCATGAATTTCATCCCTCTGCTCTGTGCAGTATCTATTCCGCAATGCACGTCTGCAAAATCCACCAAAGGGACCATAACAATGAGACAACAATGCAAAATAGACTACATGCTATAGGTTTATATCTGCACCAACAGTCACTGCTGTGCACGATATCTCGCGCCAAACTGACGCAGTTGACGCTCCCCTTGAAACCAACTATAATAACTTACTGTGATATTCGGCATTTTTTGTGCCACGGACAATGTCTTTATGCACATCGCCATCTTTCGCTTTTACTCTGACCAGTATGTACTTAAAAGTTCCCTCTGGATCAATCTCCACATCGGGGATTTTAGCCAGAGCGTCTGCCATTGCGACTGTAGATTTACGCAAAACGCCGTAGACTCTCAAACTGCGCAGAGGTCTACTGACCACAGAGAACATCAGTAGTTCTCACACATACCTTTATTTGGGTCAGGATTTCTACTTCGCTTCTTAAAGCGGCAGGACATTCGCGACTTGTTGCCATAAATGTGCAGATTTAACGGCGCGCTCGCACTCTGGCGCCCTCATATGGCAGTAAGTGCGAAGTGTTTGAATTTGCGTTCCTTGCAGTCTGTGTATACCGTGGATTTGCATTAGAAAACATTATGTTACATTACTCAGACGCACAAGTGAGATCGTCAAATGTCTAAGTTTGGTATGAGAATTTTCTGCTTTCGGCCGTTTTCTGCAGCATGCGGCAGATTGTCCGCCGGTGTCAATCGGAGAGATCAGAGGTCAAGATCAAACCTCAGAGTTAGGTTTGATCCTCCCTCTGAGGGCCTTTTGGTTCTTAATACAAAGGAATCCTATCTTTTTGGATTCACATCAAGAACGCTTCAGCAGGCAGCAGGATGCATGGTCTTGCTTTGCGTGATTAGACTCCCGTTTGCCCTGTGACTTCATTAAGATGTAATTTATCATGTTACCTTAAGCTTGGAGCCAAAGGACACAGACGTTTTAGGACAGTCAGAGAAAGATAAACCTCTAAAAAGACAAAGCCTTTCCCATATAACCAAGCCAATAAGACAGGGAAGTCCAATAAACCTTTAGATTTTTTGTAACTAATAGTGATGAGTTGTGTAACTGTCTGTTCCATAGTTACAACTGTGTAATTGCTCTACTATTCACAGCTGTGTTAGTTAATCAGAGAGTTTGTTTCATCTAATTGTGGAAGGGAGTCAGGTTAAGATGTGGCAGTAACAGTAGCTACAATCCCATGCCTCAGCTCAGACAGGAAGGATGTAAACTGTCACTTCTGCAAACGCAGGCAGCCAGCAGGCACCTCTGCTCCGATGTGCCGCACATTTTCCATCTCTAGACACTCGCAAACAAGCGACTGTCGTGATCTTTCCTACAAAATCTTTCCCCTTGCTTTCTACTAACACCTCCTTTTCAATGACATGTCAGTTCTGAACTGTGAAAAGCATGTTTTACTCTATGCAGCGTCTGTTTGCACACTTTGTACTGTTGTTGTGTGTTAGTCAGAATGATTCATTGCATACAGTTGAGGTTTAGACATGGGCCGTGAGATTTCTTGAAGCACAAATGCAAACACAAGAAATCCTCATTAGTGATGAAGATAATATTCTCTCCTGACATCCAAGAAAACATGTCAGTGGCACACAAGTCAATCACAGATAGACTCTTATCAGCTCCCAGTGTTTCAGAGCTTTGAAAAAGAATTTCCTTCTCAGTGGCTTCATATTTAATACTTGTATTTTTAAACGCTTAAGTCATACAATTTGCTTTGTCTTTGAATTTGTTCTTCTTTTCCCCTCAGGTGTTTTTTTTTTTAAAAATTACAATTGTGGCCAAAAGCTTTGAGAATGACACAAATATATGCTTTCACAAAGTTTACTGCTTCTGTGTGTTTAGACCTTTTTATTGGCTGTTTCTATTGTACACTGAGGATACGTGTCAAAATGTGTTTTATTGACAATCACATTAAGTTTATGCAAAGGGTCAATATTTGTAAACATATTTGGCCTTTTCTTAAGACCTGTGACATTTGCCCTGGCATCCTGCCATTCTTTCAAGCAGCCTCTGGGTTACATCCTGGCTGACGGCAGCCAGTTCGTGCACAATCAGCAGTTGGAGTTTTGGGGATTTTTGTTTGTCCACCGGGTTCTCAGTGGAATTAAGGTCTGGGGAGTTTCCAAACATTTGATGATGTTCCCCAAGCTTAGCTATCACTTTTGCTCCAGCATGCTGGGAATGGCATTGTTTATTAGCAAAATGTGGTTGGGAAAAATGCTTTCATGTTTTGGTGCCATTCTTTATTCATGGCTATGTTTTTAGGCAAAATTGTGAGTGATCCCACGCACATGTATGAGACATAACCCCACACACGAATAGTCACAAGATGCATTATTGTTGGCATGACACAGGCCTGATGTTAGAGCTCACCTTTTCGTCTCTGGACAATCATTTCTCTGGCTGTCTCAAACAATTGTAAAGGGGCTTCATCAGAGAAAGATGACTTTTAACACAGGCCTCTGCAGTACCTGTAGTTTTTTGCAAAACATCAGTCTCACTCTCACTCTCACCTGCCTGCTGTCTTTCCTAAGCAACTGAATAATTTTAGGACAAGGATGGCAAACTCATTTTACACTGTGGGCCACATACAGCCCCCTTTCATGTAAAGTGAAACTCTTTCTATCAATCTAAAGAAGTTTAACTACACATTTAAACCCTGTGATACAAGAAAAAGAAGTTTCAACAGTACACCTCTTTTTGTTCGTGATAAAGAAATGCTGTTTTGGTAAATGAAAGAAATCTGTCAGGATCAGTCTTTGGACTTAAATTGTAAGAAATTAGTTTGTAAACTTAAAGACAAAGTCTGGTAGCTCATTGCCCAGTCTGTCCTAAAATTATAAAACATCTTGTTAATTAACAAAAATGCCCATTTTAATAACGTGAAAGAAAAAAATCTTTAGTAGACAGTAAAAAAGCAGGAACTTTTCAAGCATGGTATTTTCACAAGCTGATAAAAATATAGAAAATGCAGTTAAAAATCTAAAATGTATCCTCTCATTGACATTTTCCAAAAACTATCCAATGACCAGATTGGAGTCTTTGGCAGGCCAGTTCTGGCCCCCTGCCTTATGTTTGAAACCCCTGCTTTGGGAGATGGTACTGGCGCTTGCTGGGCTTTGCCCTGAAAACGTATTTATAACAACTGAACTTCTCTCTTTAAAGTTCTTCATGCTCCAATAATTGGTTGATTTAGGTGCAATCTTACTAGCATCAGTATCCCTGGGAAGCTCTTTTTATGCAAAGCAGTGGTGACTGTACATGTTTTCCTGCAGATAACCATGGTTAGAGTAAGAACAATGACTTCAATAACCACTGCCTGTTGTTTTAACTTAAATGATGTTCACAGGTGCTTTTGAAGCAGCTTTTTGCACATGTTATTGTTCTCTAAAGCACTCTGAGCAGCATGTTTTGATGGCATCTCAGTGAAGAACACTATATGCAGTGGTTGTGCATATGTTTAAAAATGCAATATTTGCACGTGCAGTGCAGTGTGATACTCATGTAAGGTTGCACAAAATGTAATACACTAGTAACTTCATGAAAATAGTTTGTAAACCGAAGTAAATACACTTGTTTTCTGCTCATGACAATGATACTGAAAGTACTAATGAAAATAGCAACTGTGTTAATAAATTTTTCTTTTCTTTTCTTTTTAACTTTTGCTTTTCTTTTTATCTCAAAAGGAACAGCCTCTCGCAGAGTGGAGGAGTATAAGAGTCAGGGTGGAGTTTCCACTCAAAAGTCCAATTGTTATGAAAGCTTTCAGGAAACCTGGACCAAGCCAACCATCATAAAAGCCGGCACTTCAGCGCAAAGCCCTCAGAATCATATCGATCTGCACTGAAGTCAAAGGCTAAAGAATCACTTAAAATGGTGAGTGGAAGTTGAATCAGTTTAAATTCAATTCTCTGCACTGCAGATTTATTCAGTTGTATCTTATAGCCTGTGATTGATAGTATACTATTAATGTATGTTAATGCATCTTATTTTTTAGGAATTGTGTGATGGATTATTTCAGGCACGTGCATCGTGGATCCAGTTCACTTTTATCTGCTCAAGTATGTGCAATGCAGACATCGTCCCACCTGCAAGTTTTAGAGCCTGATAGAAACTTAACATTTTTTGCATTTTTGCAAAAAATTGCATCTAATGTGTATCTCTGTTCTGTATCCTTAGTGCTGTGCATGTGGACTAGTGTTGAGTCCTGGTCTTACGTCTACTCAAACAAATCAATGAAATGGGACGATGCACGGAATTGGTGCAAGGAGCACTACACAGACATGGTGGCCATCCAGAACCGGGAGGAGATCGAGCATCTTAACAACTGGCTGCCCAAAAAAAGGGGCTACTACTGGATAGGGATCCGTAAGATCAATGATGTCTGGACCTGGGTAGGAACCAACAAGACTCTGACGGAAGAAGCAACAAACTGGGCAGAAGGAGAACCGAACAATGGCAAAACTGAACAAAGTCTAGGAGTCAGTGAGGACTGTGTGGAGATGTACATTAAACGAGACCAAAATCCAGGCACGTGGAATGACGAGAGGTGTATGAAAAAAAAGACTGCTCTGTGCTACACAGGTGAGCAACAGTTTGGGGCTTATATGCTTTATTTTAGCTGCCTTAGATTTGTTATTGTGGTTCATTATTATCAAGGTAATCTACTGATAAAACATTTAGAAATAGTTTATTTGATATATTATTTTTACTATGATTAGCAAGGCTTATAAAAGCATGTCTGTTTTTTCCAGCGGCTTGTAAGATTGACTCCTGTTTCCATGGAGAGTGTGTTGAAACCATCAACAGCCACAAATGTGATTGTTTTGAAGGGTTTTTTGGAGACAAGTGTGACCAAGGTATGAAAAGAAATGATAGCATAGTTTAAATACATATTTTAAGTCACATAAAGGATTTGATATCTAACTGTGTGTTTTATTTGTTGTCAGTTGTGCAGTGTAACAAAGGTGAGGTGATTGTTCCAGATAAAGGACATGTCAATTGCTCTCACAAGTATGGCAGTTTCTCCTATGACTCCTTGTGTCAGTATTCCTGTGAGGAAGGATACAAGCTG